ACATTTAATTAGCGCTTTAATAATATCCCATACACTTCGCCAGTCCTCACCCCTCCACCTCTCCCTGTCCCACTCTCATTCTCAACTGTCTGTTTACCTTCACCAAGTACATCAATGTATAGTGAAGCAAGCGCTCAATGTAGAAGATGCTCCTATTACCACAGGTCTAGAGTCATATTACTCTACTCTCAACCTTTACCATTATGGGAATAACAAATATCTGACAGTGTATCAGTGGTCAGGCAACTAAGGGCAACTTCCACCTACTCTGAAGCCTGGGCGGCCATCTTGGATGAGGTCAGATTAGTATGAGCTCACTGAGCAGGTAGCTCTGGGGTCATAGTGTCATCTGTTCTGCATAGCTAAATAGCTGAATACCTCCCCTGGCTCTAGGTGGGGAGCAACATGAGTTGACTACTCACTATAAATAGACCATTGTCTCTACAGGCCCAGCACACACACACACACACACACACACACACACAAATATCTCACCCTTTGTCAACATAGAAAAAGCCTTTTGTGTTCTCTTATTTATATTATATAAAGCCTTAAACCAACAGAACTGGAGCAAATATTGTTTTCATGCCTCCCACTCTCTCGATGGCTAGTGGCATCTTGACAGAGAGGAGAAACAGCAAAATGTCAAGGGCAAAATACCAAAAGGGTTGACTTTCATGCACTGTTGATTGGTATTTCATCAACTCATACATAGTCATCTACGTCCAGACACTGTCTAGCCAATACGACCAACCAATACCTTTGACCACAGACATTTTAGGATATCTTGCCAAACTAAATCTCAATATTGTGTTTGATAACGTTTGACGTTTGACATTTGACTTGACATTTAAAGCTGCTCCCGAGTCCAAAAAATAGTCAGAAACCCTGTCGTCTGTATCCAAGCAAAGACTGTTATGGCAACTGAATATGAAACTGCAACCAAATGCACACGCACGCACACCCAAGCGCACGCACGCACACCCGCGCACACACTAACCTTCACACCCTGCGTGGTTACATTGCCCATCCATGCAAAATGAGAGCATTTTTGTGTGGATAAATCACATGAATGGTGGAAGGCATAAGCCTCAGGACAGTGTGGCCCACATTCTCACTGATTAACAGAACCCTTTCTATCCAAAACCTCCTCAAAACAGGACTAGTTCTACTATGAATCCTACCGTTACAGTGAGAACCAGTCTTAGCCTGTGGCTAGCCTATGGAATGATTTGAGACACATGATTCAGGATCAAAGTTATTCAAATACCTTTCGCCAATGAATTTCATTGCTTTATTTGGTAGTATTCATTAAACCACTGTGTTATTTGATTAGACTATAGTGAGACTACACTGGCAGTACATTCTCACAGTAGTTAAATTCTAATTAAAATTTGGTAATTACTTGGTGAGGGCTTTTTCTACTCTATTATATTCTGCTTGGATCAAAACACAACAACAACAACAACAACAAATCCCCTGAAACTATTACCATCGGAGGCTTGCGTGTAAAGGAATAAAGGAATTTGGAACGAGAGCGGTGTACTGTAGCAGGCTCCTGGTTGTTACACAGTTAGTGAGGTGCTAACTGCTGCCAGTTGTGCCTAGGTATTAACACCTGGCATGCTTAAGTTAAACAGTGCAATGGTCCAATGGAAGGGCACCACCTGACATGGAGCTTTAAAAAGAGACACTGGAGTCACACACATACATAAAGTAGCAGCCAGGTCACCTGTGATACAAGTCAGTATCGACGTCGGGAGATGACATGGAAATCGGCCACTAGGGGCAACAGTGAGCATTGTTACCTTCATGTAGGTTTTGGTTTTGCTAGGGCATTGTGGAAAGGGATGGACGTAAGCATCTGCCTCTGATTTCAAAGGTTACAAGTTCAAATCCAGCAATAGAAAGTTGTTTTTGAGATTTTTGTTTTAAGCCTATCCCAAACCTTAACCCTTACGTTAACCATTTGGAGTTAATGCCTAAACTTAACCCTAACCATAAAAATGTGGAGTTAATGCCTGAACTTAAACTTAAACACTTGAAATTTGACCCTTGCAACATTATCTCTACTCCAAATAGCTCGTTCCATCTCATCCCACAGATGCTCAATTGGATTGAGATCTGGTGACTGGGCAGGCCACTGCAGTAAACTGAATTCACTGTCATGTTTGTGGAACCATTCCTGGACAATCCTAGCCTTGTGGTATGGGGCATTATCCTGCTGAAAAAATCAATTTGCAGATGGATACACTGCTGCTATGAAGGGATGCACCTGATTGGCAATGATGCCATGACCCAGCCAGGCTTAAAGATTAAGAGCAACCTGACCCAGACCCATGCAGGTCTTGTCCATGGTCCGACACACACACACACACAGCCCAGGCGAAATATCCAAATAAATGTCACTAGAAAACAGCTTAAACAATCGCAAATGCAGCTACTTTGCTGTTATTTTGGCTGCACTGTTTGACCTGACTGTAAGCCGTTGTTGGCTAGCTAGCAAGCAAGGGAAAATAATGTTGCCAGGCAGCATGGCAACAAAACATTTAGAACGAACGACTGGGTTGAGTCCATAGATTTAGAACAAAAAGCCTTCAAGACTGGGTCGCATCTCTGGCAACCTAACCGATAGAATGAATGATCCAGACAGCTTGGTAGCAACCCTAGATTTGTGTCGGGACTATATCTCGTGGAAGGATAACTTAGTATGAATAAATTCATCAAAAGAAAGTTTGTTATGAAAATATGTCAATCATTATTTGAATATGTTGGTAACCCATTGTATAAAAGCGACAATGCCCTCAAAGCTGGTGTTTAGAAGATATATTGGCACGGTTTGCCGGCCCGAGATGCTAATAACACCCGTGCGAAAATATTCTCCAAACACCGGCTTTGAGGGCATTATCACTTAATTAAGTATAAAATGTTTCTCCCCTATTTATCCCACGATGCTATGCAATCATAATAATGCTTAGTCATGCATCTGGATCCGTTAACACGCCGTCCCACATCAGACATTTTGTCAGCCTTGTAAATATCCCGACGAGACATCAGCAGCCATGTTATTTTACACAACACGACATCTCACAGCCCAGGCAGATTTCAGTCTCAACCGACTTCCTTTGACTGCTCAGCCAAAATAAATAAGACAGGGGACGCAGAAGGAGAGAGAGAGAGAGAAGAGGAGGTGGAGGGGGAAGGAGGGGGGTAGGAGGAGGGATGGAGGAGGGAGAGAAGAGGATGGGGAAGAGGAAGAGGAGGAGGGAGAGAGAGGAGGAGAGGGAGGAGGCCTCTAACACAAGTGTGTAAGCAAATGACAGGCACTGACTTGACTGACTTGACTGAGGGACTGGGGCAACCCTGCAGAGAAAGATAATATTAGCGGATGTATTTAGCTGGGGCAGGCTGGGTAATTGCGACTTCATCGCTTGTCTGCCCCGCGGATTAGAACAGTACTGGCGCATGTAGTGAAGGACAGAGATGATACTGTGTGTAGAGAGTGTTACTGGCAAGGCTGAGTACCACTCCATATAGTAGAGCTCCTCTACCCATTCAGTCTCTAATTAAGTTGCTCAGTGGGTTGGGGTAGGGCACCGGCAGTGGCAAGAACGTAGGTTCCCCTCCCGCACAGGAATCATGAGACATTTTGTATTTCAACATCCCTAACACATACAGTAAGGAGACTTATGCAGTAACCCTCAGTATGTCATCGTGCTGCCCAACAATGCCAGTGTAAACTACAGCATGTGTCTACGTGTCAGTTAGTGTGGAAAACCCCTCACCCCTGACAGCCTTAAGGACATGGCATTATGTCTGCCAGGACAAAGTGTGTGTGTGTGTGTGTGTGTGTGTGTGTGTGTGTGTGTGCGCGTGCATGCATGCGTGTGTGTGTGTGAGAGCAGAAATACAGACAAGGAAGACAGTCTTGGAAGTGTGCAAATATCCCCATAACCTAGCAAAACTACTGAAGTGTCATGACATGCAACCATGCAACACAGCTCAAAAACACTGCATAGGTTTCTTTGACAAACGGTATCTAGACCAACTGGGGCCCAGGACCCTGTTTCCTTCATTATCACGGTTAGTTTCACCAGCTGACCACCTGACCTGGCCCACAGTTCAACACTACCAGTCTTGAACTAATCAATAAACAGCTTCATTCTAAAATGATATAGGATGTTAAGGGCGTCTTTTAATTACTATACATGCCTAGGGGGACCCGTTACATCTGTAGAATCTATAGGGAGCAGGACCGTAAAACTCGATCCATTTCTAACGGACACAAAACGGTCCCAAAACAGAACTGTGTGACATTCCAACAATTCGTCCCTGTGTGTTCTTTTTGCCAAGGCTAACAAGGCTAAAGTGGTGGACGGTGGGGCGTACAACGAGGGCCACCATCAGGGTCATGTTGTCATTCCACTACCAAAACAATTCATGGAGATTAGCTCGCCCCCCATCTCCTCCCACCCACATAAATCCCCATATACCACTGCCCACCCTGCCAAAAGCTCCAACCATGGCAGATATGGAGGCCATTGGCAGGAAGGGGGTAAAGTGGAAGGGCAGAGAGCTAGAGGAGGAACTCACCCCCCACACCATCCCTTCTCCCAGCAAACCCCCACCACCACAGTGGGCTCGTGACAGACATGAATGAACCATGCTTGTGTCCTGCTCAAAACTGAGCTAAGTTGACGTAGGGGGGGGGGGGGGGGGCAACCTTTTACAGGGTCAAATAGCAGAGGGAAATGTTCAGCTTAATACATTTGATTCCTAATTTCACAATTTTAAAACACGATTACACACGTTGATTTTAAATTTGAGTAGCCTCTAAGCACTGAAATTACACAAAATATAGAGGCCACACACACTTTAGTGGTGCATGCAAAAGTCAAAATTATAGTTTCAGTCTGAAAAGCAGTTTTTCGTCAACAGCAACCAAAACATAAACCTTACTGCCCACACTACCCAAGAGTGAGAGTGGAAGAATGACTTACCACCAGGTTCCCGATCACCATGACCTGCATGAAGACCAGTAGGCAGAGAGGCTGCCCTGCCACCTCCATACAGTCCCACATGGTCTCGATCCACTCGCCGCACAGCACCCGGAACACAATGAGGAACGAGTGGAAGAAGTCCTTCATGTGCCAGCGCGGCAGCGTACAGTCCTTGGAGATCTTACACACGCAGTCCTGGTAGTTCTTGCCGAACAGCTGCATGCCCACCACGGCAAAGATGAAGACTATGATGGCTAGCACCAGGGTCAGGTTTCCCAGGGCGCCCACTGAGTTGCCGATGATCTTGATGAGCGTGTTGAGGGTGGGCCATGACTTGGCCAACTTGAACACCCTCAGCTGTGGGAGGGGGGAGGGGGGGGGGTGGTATAGTGAGACCTGCTGTTTGTTCGTTATCTGAGACATGGTCAGTATGTGTGTTTTAGAAATTAATGTTATCTATAAGTTATCAATGTATTCTTCCATGTTGTTATTTATTTGACTTTATCCTATTCTCATCTTTAAGTTTAAACCTTTAAAGTGAATAAATGTCTATTCAAAATAAAGAAGTGGCTACTGGCTACAATTCAAATAATTGTGTCAATGGAGATTATGTACTAAGAAGGGGTTAACTCAATCAGGCTGGTTTAGGGTCTATTCTCATTGTCGAGAATTAAGGAGAATTTCAAGAGATTCTCGAGAGGTATCAATTCTCGAGAGACATAACTGTAATGTAAACTTGCGTATTTCTCACGTCTCGAATGCTACCTCCAGAGGTCACACGCAACATTTGCCCGACAGTTGCCCCCCTCTAAGCATGGCAGTGTAAACAGAATTGTCTCGTTGAGCCCAACATTCGTACAGTAAAAATACTAATAGCAGAGCAGTGTTTTTGAAACAGCTTAAATGTATAGACCTTTTCATTATATTTTCAACCTATTTTTATTGAGTTTTCACCTGAAATTGCAGTTACAGCCTGTTACATTCTGAAATTGTCTCCGTAGCTTTAAGAAAGGGAAGCTCAAAGATGGTGAGCCACCATCTAGGCACGAAGAATGCAACAAGAAGCTGATCAACTCATCAGGGAAATTATCAACGTTTTCAGTCGAGATTTTGCGTTTACCTCATATAATGACTTCCATGATATTGATAAAATGAAACCTGGTTTGTTCTAAGGTATCTTTAATATGCTGAAACTATATTTTTATATAATCGTATGAGAGGGGAAAAACGTTCATGTTTGATATGCTAACATTACTAGCTAGCATAGATAGTGGTGTTATTGTGTGTACGAACAAGAAAATAAACCCTTTAACGGTCAGCACATGCTTGTGAATTGTTGCATTATTTAAGAGTGTAATATGATTTGGTTACATTATTCAAGAGTATATCTAATATGTTTTAGAGGAAAAGTTGCTCGCATTGTTGAATAGTTTGCAAGCTTACTGGCTAGTGGCTACTGTGATACTGGTATTTACTGTACATTTGGAGTTGCAGAGCAATAGTGTCATGTAAATTGAAAAGTTTATGTACATTAATGTACATTTAAATCTCATCGCGCTGCCTCACCTTAAATGTTCGTCAATAGGAATAGCCTCTAAGTAACTGTTGAGAAGGACTTGCCAAGCTCACAGTTAGGGGGACTTACAGTATTCGTACATTAGCATCGGGAGAGCGAGCTAACCAGTCACACTGTCAAACAGTGCAGCCAGCAACACTTACATCCAGACAACCATCATCTACTAACACACAGACAGCACACAGAGAGACAGATAGGCCGGAGAGGCGACATGCTTAATGCTTAAATACCAGTCTGAAGGATCGGAGAACAGACAGTCCTTCCACGTCGGACAGGCCCAGCTCCATGAGGCTGAGGCACACGATGATGCTGTCAAAGATGTTCCAACCTTGCTGGAAATAGTAGTAGGGGTCCAGAGCGATGATCTTTAAGACCATCTCAGCTGTGAAGATCCCGGAGAATACCTAGGAAACGCAGACACACACAGACACACAGAGAGAGGGAGTGCTTAGCCTGGGGGTAGGACACTTAGAGTCAGAATCAGGCCCGGCTTCCCTTGCACATGAAGCATTGCAATAGAACAAGGCTGTCTGTCGCTTTGCCTCCCAATCTACTGATGTTATCCACGTGGAACTATCTGGAAGGCAGGGCTGTACAATGTTTCCACTTAAAACTAACTTGAAGGACTAATGGTAGATGACGATAAACTTTTTGAAATAAGATCTAAGGTATTGTAGACGTTGCCCAAAACCATCCTTCTAGAAAACTCTGTTGACTTTTTTGCCAATACCTACCCATACTAACACAGCAGCTCTACTTGGGCTGGGAATTAATAAAATGTGCATTGCTGACAAGCAAACTACAGTTGTCCTGGTAATTTACGCTTGAGCGTTAACCGTGAATGGGATTTCAGCGAACTTCAGGGAAATTGCCAGTGCAGTGCGCTTGTCAACAATGCACTTTTGATTCAATCCCTGTCTTGGTGTTTTCTTCATTGGAGTGTCTGGAACTACGACTGCAATGCTTATGAATCAGTTTTCAGATGCTGTTTAGGGAGCATCCTCATCTCTTTCTATTTCTCCATTCGCTGGACTCCTGTGGAGATGGTCTCTTGCTCTGTGTTTGTGTGGTAAAAGCTGAAGCAGCTGACAGGTCTGCAGTTTAGGTGTGTGTGTACGTGCGAGTGTGTGTGCTTCAGTAATCTGGTGTTTTCATCTTGCAGCTCCAGAAGTGCCTCTCTGCTAGTTGTTCCTGGGAGACGCGCTCCTCGATGTGACACGGAGTACGTGACACACAGGCGGGAGGCGAGAGGGTGGTGGGACAAGGCGAAAGCGTCAGAGTGCGCGTCTGGGTAGCCTTTGCGGTGACACCAGGCCACTGATGTCCATTTTTTTTGTCCCCATGCGACCGGGGACTCTTGAAAGGATCTGATCTGGAGTCTGTTTAGACTCGTAGGCCATGTCCGCACACACACACACACACAAACACAAACAGTGAGTAGTTGAGTGAGCGGGACAGCGTGATTACAGCTGGGATATTGACTGGCACTTTCAGCTGCCTGGAGTGGCCCAATGTCAGTGTGTGTGTGTGTGTGTGTGTGTGTGTGTGTGTGTGTGTGTGTGTGTGTGTGTGTGTGTGTGTGTGTGTGTGTGTGTGTGTGTGTGTGTGTGTGTGTGTGTGTGTGTGTGTGTGTGTGTGTGTGTGTGCGTTTGCGTGTGTGTGTGTGTGTGTGTGTGTGTGTGCCTGCTGCTTTGGCGTGTGTCTCCATTCTCATTTACATGGGGCTCATTAGGCTCGGCTCACAGCTCGTTATCGATGATGAGGTTCTTCACAATCATACCGTTATTACGCTGTCAGGACCCGAGGACGAGACGGGCCGCTCATTATGATTGGGCGGAGAATTTATCGCAGAGATCATGTGACAACATTGACATGGCACAGCCCCAGAGAAGGACAAGACATGGACATACACTACATGAATTGACTGGGTTTGTGTACTGCACTGTGCAGTACTGGTTTGCGGGGAGATATGGTGCAGGAGACCATTATTTAATGTATTTAGGAAGATGTTGATGATGTTGATGTTGCCCAGAGTGATGCAAAAGTTAATGTGAGTTAATAGTTCCGGTTTACTTAATTGAGTGGTCTATCGCACAGCATTGGGTGTGTTGAAAAATGAATTTATTGTGTTGCAATGTAATTATAATGTCTGTACTTCAGCAAACACAACATTTTCAGTTTGTAAGTTGATCTCAAGTACTTTATTGGAAATATATTTTCCATTCAGCATTGGAATGCAAATTCAACTTATTATCACAAGTACTTTATTGGAATGCAAATGCAACGTATTAATCTTGTGTGAAATTTTCCATAGGGTCAGTATGGTCAGCATTATTTTTTATGAATGTGTTTCATATCAAATGAAATTAGCATCTCTGTAATTCTAATTCGGATAGTGAGCAGCACACTGTACTAACACCTGTGTGGGCAAACCTTAAAAAGGGGAAGGCTACATCAGCACTGGGTCAGTCAGTATGGTACACAATATCACACCAAACTGTGTCACAAATGGCAACCTATTCCCTCTATAGTGCACTACTTTTGTCCAGGGCCAATAGGACTCTGTTCAAAAGCAGTGCACTATTCGGGAGTAGGGTGCCATTTGGGACAAAGGCATGCTGGGTAATTATTTTTGTCAGGCCAAAGCATAAGTAATGAGTAAGCGTTTGGGATCCCCAGGCAAACATGGTAATTGAGGAATCCTTATGTGTTGGTCTGAGCATGTCACGGCATCATGGCAACACGATTCATATCTCCAGTGATAATCATAAGAAAGTGTCCAGGTTGTGTGTGAAGTCTATTCTCTTCAGCGTATGAGCTGCTCCAGCTAAGTAAACTGAGGCACGACTGAATAGGTTAAGCGAAACACTGAAATGGCACCCTATTCCCTAGGGCAGAAGTGCTCTATTTTTGACCAGGCTCTGGTAAACAAAAGTACACTACACTCTATATGGAATAGGATGCCATTTCAGATGCCCCCATTCTGTTTTCTGTAGAAAACAATATTGTTACTAGGTAGGCCTATACTGTATTGAATATCCCACAGCTTCTAAACAAATTAGCTTGGTTTCCAGACAAAATGGGATTATTAAAAGTATATATTCCAACAGATGAACCCAACTAAAAGACAGAAAGAACACAAATATGTGTCGCCCAACAGTGTAAATACAAGCTAGTAGAGAGTCTGAAAATGCTTATCTGCTGATTACTCACATATTATTAATCTAACCGCTGCCTTAGACGACCTGTCTGTCACCCTCCCACCCCAAACTTGTCTGTCACTCTCCCACTCCAAACCTGTCTGTCACTCTCCCACTCCAAACCTGTCTGTCACTCTCCCACCCCAAACCTGTCTGTCACCCTCCCACCCCAAACCTGTCTGTCACTCTCCCACCCCAAACCTGTCTGTCACTCTCCCACAACCAAACCTGTCTGTCACTCTCCCACCCCAAACCTGTCTGTCACTCTCCCAACCTAAACCTGTCTGTCACTCTCCCACTCTAAACCTGTCTGTCACTCTCCCACTCCAAACCTGTCTGTCACTCTCCCACCCCAAACCTGTCTGTCACTTTCCCACTCCAAACCTGTCTGTCACTCTCCCACTCCAAACCTGTCTGTCACTCTCCCACCCCAAACCTGTCTGCCACTCTCCCACCCCAAACCTGTCTGTCACTCTCCCACTCCAAACCTGTCTGTCACTCTCCCACTCCAAACCTGTCTGTCACTCTCCCACCCCAAACCTGTCTGTCACTCTCCCACTCCAAATCTGTCTGTCACTCTACCACTCCAAACCTGTCTGTCACTCTCCCACCCCAAACCTGTGTGTCACTCTCCCACCCCAAACCTGTCGGTCACTCTCCCACCCCAAACTTGTCTGTCACTCTCCCACCCCAAACCTGTCTGTCACTCTCCCACCCCAAACTTGTCTGTCACTCTCCCACCCCAAACCTGTCTGTCACTCTCCCACCCCAAACCTGTCTGTCACTCTCCCACCCCAAACCTGCCTGTCACTCTCCCAACCTAAACCTTGTCTGTCACTCTCCCACCCCAAACCTGTCTGTCACTCTCCCACTCTAAACCTGTCTGTCACTCTCCCACTCCAAACCTGTCTGTCACTCTCCCACCCCAAACCTGTCTGTCACTCTCCCACCCCAAACCTGTCTGTCACTTTCCCACTCCAAACCTGTCTGTCACTCTCCCACTCCAAACCTGTCTGTCACTCTCCCACTCCAAACCTGTCTGTCACACTCCCACCCCAAACCTGTCTGCCACTCTCCCACCCCAAACCTGTCTGTCACTCTCCCACTCCAAACCTGTCTGTCACTCTCCCACTCCAAACCTGTTTGTCACTCTCCCACCCCAAACCTGTCTGTCACTCTCCCACTCCAAATCTGTTTGTCACTCTACCACTCCAAACCTGTCTGTCACTCTCCCACCCCAAACCTGTCTGTCACTCTCCCACCCCAAACCTGTCTGTCACTCTCCCAACCTAAACAATGTACTCCTGTCTTCTCTCACATAGAGACATACAGATGTGCAGTGCACGCACATTTCTGAAAATAAAAACATGCCAGCAACCGACACACTCGTGTTTATCTAACAGGCCTGACCCGGAGGGGTTTGTCCGTACGTCTGTCCAGCTATGTCTTTGTGGTTGAGGGGTAGCTGAGGGGCGCGAGAGGATGGGTCATTGCTGTGTAAACTAGGGCCTGTGCTCTGCTGACTGTGGCCATGTTGGCAATATCAGACATCTATGGCTCAGCATATATTGTATGAAGGTACACTCACATGCATACACCAGCACACACACACACACAAAAAAAATAACACATACATGCGTATGCAGACAGACACACAACCACACACAGAGCAGAGTGAGGCTCATGCGAGTGGAAGGGCGGTGAGGGCAGGCTCAACGGGGAGGGGAGCAGAGAGGAGATGCCCAGCGACAAGCTCTCTCTGGGAAGCATGACACTGCACACAGAGGGGCGTCAACAAGGTTTCACTCCCACAGTTAACATACTCCACGGGACGACACACGCCCAACTAGCCTCGGGTGAACAGCCCCACACATGTACACATACGCTCATGCACACACAGGCTCACACACACGCACACACACACACACACACACACACATAAGCATGCTCAGAGAGAGAGACAATATACACTACATGACCAGAAGTATGTGGACACCTGCTCATCAAACATCTCATACCAAAATCATGGGCATTAATATGCACTCTTCTGGGAAGGCTTTCCACTAGATGTTGGAACATTGCTGCGGGGACTTGCTTCCATTCAGCCACAAGAGCATTAGTGAGGTCGGGCACTGATGTTTGGCGATTAGGCCTGGCTCGCAGTCAGCGTTCCAAGTCAAAACAAAGGTGTTTGATGGGGTTGA